GAGCCCAGCCCAGGGCCTGACTCAGCGGGTGCTCAGTGCATGTTTGCCAGCGACCACCCTGGGTGCTCACCTGGGAAATATGTATCTAATAGAACCCGCTGGAGGGTGAGAGTTCCAGGACAAGGGGAGGGTTTACGGAGGGGAGGGAGTCCGAGGTGAGGCACCCTCTGGGGGAGGAGGGGAGGGAGCCTGAGGCGAGTGCACCCTCTGGGGGAGGAGGGGAGGGAGCCTGAGGCGAGTGCACCCTCTGGGGGAGGAGGGGAGGGAGCCTGAGGCGAGTGCACCCTCTGGGGGAGGAGGGGAGGGAGCCTGAGGCGAGTGCACCCTCTGGGGGAGGAGGGGAGGGAGTCTGAGGCGGGTGCACCCTCTGGGGGAGGAGGGGAGGGAGCCTGTGGTGTGTGCACCCTCTGGGGGAGGAGGGGAGGGAGCCCGCGGTGAGTGCACCCTCTGGGGGAGGAGGGGAGGGAGTCTGAGGCGAGTGCAGCCTCTGGGGGAGGAGGGGAGGGAGCCCGCGGTGAGTGCACCCTCTGGGGGAGGAGGGGAGGGAGCCCGCGGTGAGTGCACCCTCTGGGGGAGGAGGGGAGGGAGCCCGTGGTGTGTGCACCCTCTGGGGGAGGAGGGGAGGGAGCCTGTGGTGTGTGCACCCTCTGGGGGAGGAGGGGAGGGAGCCTGTGGTATGTGCACCCTCTGGGGGAGGAGGGGAGGGAGCCCATATTGAGTGCACCCTCTGGGGGAGCTTGGCCACCTTTCCAGTTTCGCACGGGCTGGCTTCCCACTCACCGTGGGCGACCTCCTGCGGTTCTCCAGCTCGGCCGCCAGGAAGCACTCCTTCAGGATGCCGTTTCTGGACCTGCACAGCACCTGCCGCAGAGAGAAATGAGTCCCGTGCGCGTCGTCCCAGACGCCGCGAAGGTGAAAGGTTTGTACAGACGGCTCAGTGTCTGTTCCAGCCGTGACACGCTGGCTTCTGACTCGATGCCTGGAGAGGAAATTCCCGAACAAATCTGCCCCAAAATCAGTGTTGCGGGGTGTCTCAGACCCATCAGAAACATGTGTGGCCCCGTTTCAGACTGACCTCTTTCAGGTGCCTGTACAGGAGGTCACTGTTCTTTTCCAAGAATCCTGCAAAACATTGAGTAAGGAGTGTTGGAATCAACGGCTTTGCGGGAAAATGCAATTCCATCCCAAACGATCGCAAAGGGAAATCCTAAAAACAATCTCACGGTTAGACCAGGCCTCAGCCTTGGCATTGGGACAGCGGAGGCTGGATAACTCTGCTGTGGGACCCTCTTGTGCCGTGTAGGGTGCAGAGCAGCCTCCCTGGCCTCCACCACGAGGTGCCAGTGCATCTTCTCCACTTGTGGCAACCGAATGTCTCTAGACACTGTCAGACGTCCCCGGGGGACATCGGGAGAAGCAGGTCCTCAGTGCCGACCTCATGGCACACACGCTCCATTCTACATCCCCATGAGCTGCCACGGGAATGCACAGCCTTCACACTGAGCATGTACCCGGGAAGGCACAGCCTTCACACTGAGCATTGTACCCGGGAAGGCACAGCTTTCACACTGAGCATCGTACCCGGGAAGGCACAGCCTTCACACTGAGCATGTACCTGGGAAGGCACAGCCTTCACACTGAGCATCGTACCCAGAAAGGCACAGACTTCACACTAAGCATCGTACCCGGGAAGGCACAGCCTTCACACTGAGCATCATACCCGGGAAGGCCCAGCCTTCACACTAAGCATCGTACCCGGGAATGCACAGCCTTCATACTAAGCATCGTACCCGGGAAGGCACAGCCTTCACACTAAGCATCGTACCCGGGAAGGCACAGCCTTCACACTAAGCATCGTACCCAGAAAGGCACAGCCTTCACACTAAGCATCGTACCCGGGAATGCACAGCCTTCACACTGAGCATGGTACCCGGGAAGGCACAGCCTTCACACTGAGCATCGTACATGGGAATGCACAGCCTTCACACTAAGCATGGTACCCGGGAATGCACAGCCTTCACACTGAGCATCGTACCCGGGAAGGCACAGCCTTCACACTAAGCATGGTACCCGGGAAGGCACAGCCTTCACACTAAGCATCATACCCGGGAAGGCACAGCCTTCACACTGAGCATCGTACCCGGGAAGGCACAGCCTTCACACTGAGCATCGTACCCGGGAAGGCACAGCCTTCACACTGAGCATCGTACCCGGAAATGCACAGCCTTCACACTAAGCATCATACCCGGGAAGGCACAGCCTTCACACTGAGCATTGTACAGCGCCCAGCCTGTTAGTAAAGAACACCACACCAGTGAATGGCATTGAGACAATGGAGGGGGCACTGAGTTCCAGGGGAGACTGCCTTAGGTGAGGGAGTGCCTGGGATGGACATGCAGCCTTTCCCCAGAGGATGCGGAGGCCCTGCCTGGCTGTGGCCTGTGCCCGGGGCACCCACCTTTGGTGCAGTAGGTGACCTCCCCCGCGTAGTGGAACAGTCGGAACTCCATCCAGCCAATCCTCTTGCGGCCCTTTGGACCCGCCAGCTTCCGGCTGCAGCGAGATGGACACAGACACAGGCTGAGCCTTTCTCATCACGGCAGCAAAATGCACCAAAGTACAAAGCAGAGGGAGAGAGGCCTCTGACGGTGCTCGGGACCTGACAGCCAACTGAAGGCCAGCACAGAGAGCTGACCACCGGGGGCAGCTCCCAGGAAACCTGCTGCCCGTTCCATCCTGGTGGAGACCAAGGGCTAACAGGAGACCCTCCCTTCCCACACACACTGAGGAATAAAAGACGTGCATGAACCGCAGAAACACAGTTACTTTTACAATGAAGTCACTTCCATTTTCCGGGTGACAACTAAGAAACGATTTTACCACCTTACATTCTTATGATGTTGAGAGATTAAAATACTCATGAAAATCATTTTTTTCAGATTGTGGTGATTCATAAGTTTTAAGTAACTTTTTCTTGACATGTATATACACACATACATATCCTAAGTGTATACAGCTCAACAATCTTTCTTTCATGAAGTTATAGACTGTTCATTCTAACGGCTGTATTTCATTCCATATGTGAACATACCACAATTTATTTTTCCATTCTTGATTCATTTAGTTATCCAATTCATTTTACATATCATTTTAACATTCTACAACAGGTTTGATAAAGCCACTACCATTTATGAAATCCTTACTATGGCCAGAAATTGCACCAGATGACTTATACAGTCACTTATAATTCTAGAAGGTAGGTATATTAACATCCCCACCTTGTAGAATGGGAAACACAGATGCAAGAGTGTTGGTTTGGCTCAGTGGATAGAACATCGGTCTGTGGACTGAAGGGTCCTGGGTTCGATTCCGGTCAAAGGCAGGAGGCAGCCAATCAATGATTCTCTCTCATCACTGATGTTTCTCCCTCTCCCCCTCTCCCTTCCTCTCTAAAATCAATAAAAATAAATTTTGACATGGAATTCGAGTTTGATTTTTTACTAACAAAAAGGATGCATATACAGTAAGTCCTCACTTAACATAGTCAATATGTTCTTGGAACGGTGGCAAAAGAACATATAATAAAACCACATTTACCATAAGCTGTTTGATGTAAGTAAGAGTCAAGTTCCTACGGCATCTCATCAACCTTATAATGAAACAACGTTACCCAAGGGCCTGCTGAATATGACTGGGTGCATCCTAACGGGATTTCTACTACGAAGACGTAGCTGTACTCTTGGGGAGCACCGCCCGCCTCCCCAAGAAAATGGATGTGCCGTGCAACGATGCAACAGCTCCTCACATGCAATACCTACGTTTGGAAGTGCGCATGCTTCCCCACTTTCTCTTCCAACTTCTCCAGGAAACTCAAGTCAGAAGCAGGACCAGGACGGATACATTCTTCATCCTTCAAACGAAGAAGAGAAGCCTCGAGCCACAGCAACACACTCGACCACGTCCAAGTTTAAACACGCTCACCAGCTCTGGCAATGTCCTGCACTCACATGCGGTCATCTCACTCAAGTCCAGGGGAACGTTTCCAGGGAGGGGGCCTAACCCATCACATGTTCTCAGATTTTTTTCAAGAGAACCACGGAACCAGAGAAGCTGGAAATTCCATGAGAAATCAGCTCTGCCACCCCCCGAACTGAGGCGTATCCCCAAAGTCTTCCCAGGACACCCCACAGCTTCTGTGCCCAGCTTGCTTACACACGCAACCTCACTTTTTTCTTAACTACGCGTCTCTGGCAAGGAACATACAGATCCCCCTTTACTCGGAGCAAAGCCTCATGGGAAACAAACTATAAAACCACTTGAGCCTAAAGTCTCCTATTTCTCGAGCTCTGCCTTTCTGTTTTCTATTCTGGGTCCTCCACAGCGATAACATTTCACTGACCATCTTTTAAAAAATAACGATGAGCCAGGCTGGTGTGGCTCAGCAGTTGAGAGTCAACCCAGGAGCCAAGAGGTTGCCGGTTCAATCCCCAGTCAGGGCACATGCCCAGGTTGTGGGCTCCATCCCCAGTAGGGGACGTGGAGGAGGCAGCTGATGGATGACATTCCTCTCTCATTGATGTTTCTATCTCTTTATCCCCTCTTCCCTTCCTCTCTCTCTAAAAATAAATAACAGTTTTTAAAAAATTAAAGATGAATTGACCATGTAGCTTCTATTAAAACAACAGTAACAATAAAAACCTGGTTAAGGTTGGGGAGACAAGTCTCATTAAGTAGCATTTTTATGCTGATCTCATTTATGGAGAACCAATGGGAGTAAATACTTTTTACTAAAATATCTTTTGTTGTTAATCCTCACCTGAGGATATTTTTTTCCATTGATTTTTAGAGAGAATGGAAGGGAGGGGGAGATTCAGAAAGAGAGAAACATCGATGAGAGAGACGCATCAACTGGTTGCCTCCAGCACATGCCAGACCGGGCTGGGCATTGAGCCTGCAACTGAGGTACATGCCCGTGACCAAAATCAAACCCAGGACTCTTCGGTCCACGGGTCGACACTCTATCCACTGAGCCAAACTGGCTAGGGCCTCAAATACCTTAACATACTGGTCTAGCAATCCCTCTGAGCACTGAATGTACAGACACTCGCGTACGTCAGCCCGTGCTTCCCCAGATGTCCCCATGGCTGGTGCCCTCACCTCCTTCGGGTCTTTGCTCAGATGTCACCTTCTCAGTGAGTCCTTCCTGAACCACCGATGATCTAAAATGGAGCTGCCCTCCCCAGCACATCTCATCTCGTCCTTTTTCTCCATTGCACAGTCTACACCTGTTCCCCATTAACCTGTTTGTTGTCAGGCTTTCCCTGCCAGCATCCAGAGCCTGCACTGGTTTTCCACTGCTGTGTCCCAAAGCACAGGGCACAATCCTGGCCCAAAGCAAGCATCCGATGAGTGTTTGTCGAATGAATGAATGAATGAATGAAGCCTGAATGCTCACCATGGAACAGGCATGGCTCTGAGCCCTCTGCCTACATCACCTCACTAAATGTGTCCTTCCAACTCCTCTCGGAGGCAAGTGCTGTTCCCGCTGTACCCGTTTCAAGAGGATACAAGTCCTCACATGCGTCGTAAACACTGGGTGAATGAGCTCTAAGTCAAAGGTAATTGTCTCACCAGGATGGAGATGATTCCTTTGTGTCTTTCTTCAACCAAGTCACAGATGATCTTGTTGTTGAAATACTGAATCGGCTCCCACTGAAATGACAGAGGAAAGAGTTCTCCACGGAGGATTTGGATGAGCAGAAGATGTATTTCTTTTAAACGGGTTTTCCGACATTTTTTCGAAAATCCGATTTGTATGTCTAACATTAAAAAATAATAATCCTTTCTGAATATCAAAATAACGTCCCGGGAAATGGGCAGAGCAGGAGCACAGAATAATTCTCAGTACTAATCAGGGAAAATCGCCAATGAAACCCTACTTCTCAAGGAAATGCCTCTCACGAGGTTAGCAAATGGGAAGAAAACACCAAGACGTTTACCTCTATGCCTTCCATTTCATATTCTGCCTGTTCCGCCTTTAGCGTTCTCTCGATTAAGAGCTGCTGGAGCTTCTCGTTGCAGTAGTTTATACAGAACTGTTCAAAACTAGAGATGCAAAAGGTTTAAAAACTAAAGCTATGCACGTAGGCCAATTTTTTTAAAAGTTGTATTTAATTTTTTTTAATTAAATTTATTGGAATAACACTGGTTCATAATTATATGTTTCAAGTGTACAATGTATAACACATCATCTGTGTATTGCGTTGGGTGCTCACTCCCCAAAGTCTGGTCTCCTTCGGTCACCATGTATTTGCTGTTCTTTTCCCTCTTCATCTCCACCCGCCCCCCCGCCCACCCCCTTCCCCTCTGGTAACAACCACACTGTTGTCTGTGTCCATAAGTTTGTTTGTTGGTTTTGTTCGTTCATCTGTTGCTTTCGGTTTTACTGTTTTCCCTTATTTTTAAGGATGCTTTCTAATTCAGAAAGATCAAAATCCTTATTAATCAAATACTCGAGTGAGCAGACCACAAGACCCGAGCTAGAAGACGATTGCCTTTTCCATGGTTATTCCACTGCTAGAACCGTCAGTCTACGCAAATCTGGAGAATTTCTGGGAACGAGGAAATCAACCCCCATCACATTAGCGAGGCCTGAAGCCAGACTCAGACCTGAAAGATGCACGGAGGGCCTCACCCGTTCTTGTCGAAGACCTCGAACCCGTAGATGTCCAGCAACCCGATCACGGTTTTCTTGGTGAACTCCTGGTCAAGAGAGCAGGCCGTTCATCTCTAGGCCTTTCACGCCGAGACGCTCAGATCACAGTGGCTGCCCCCAAAGCGGGGCCGTGGCCACAAAGCTCATGCCTTCTCTCTCCACCAGTGGCTCCCAGAAGCAGCTCCGGGTGGAAACATTTCCCAGCTCACTCCCGCCTGAGGCCTGTCCATTTCCCACCCACTTCCTGCCCATCACCCGAGCCAGGACGCCTCCCCTCCCGATTCACTGTCTTGCTTAACCCTCTCCAACTTGACTCCCAAGCCCACATTTGATCTGGAAGGGAAAAAGGGGAGGGAGGGACGGAGGGAAGGAGCCTTATAGACCAGTGATGGCGAACCTTTTGAGCTTGGCGTGTCAGCATTTTGAAAAACCCTAACTTAACTCTGGTGCCGTGTCACATGTGGAAATTTTTTGATATTTGCAACCATAGTAAAACAAAGACTTATATTTTGATATTTATTTTATATATTTAAATGCCATGTACAAAGAAAAATCAACCAAAAAAATGAGTTCGCGTGTCACCTCTGACACGCGTGTTATAGGTTCGCCATCACTGTTATAGACAGACAACCAAGGTGACATCTATCCAGGGAAAAGACAGGTGGTACAGATGTCATTTTAAATAGAGGGCCAAGTGCTATTGGGCGAGAATGGATAGTGAGAGAGAACATGCCTCTTTTTTAGGGACACAATTGAACATTCTGAATGGTGTGCAGGCATACTTCGTGTTATCGTGCCTAGCTTTACTGCACTTCCCAGATGTTGCGTTTTTACGAATTGAAGGCAAGACCCTCCACCAGCAAAGAGATATGACTGGCTTTATCGCGATACTCGCTTTACTGCCGTCTAGAATGAGCCCTCAGTCTCTTTGAGGTAGGCCTGAACCAAGCTGATGTCTCCCAAATCTGCCCTTCACAGCCTTAACCTCCATGAGTTCCACCCCATCCACACACCTTGACTTTGCGTATCATTTCCTTCATTTCTAGCTTTGAGTAAATCCCCTTTTCATTTAAATTCCACTTAAAAAGGAAATGTGATCAGTGGGTGAGTTCAAAGGAGTTGTCGTATTTTTTTCTGATACACACTAAATATGCTACTGTTGAGAGTAAACGTTTCTGTATATACTTCAAGCATCTGGCATGCTTCATATGCTCTGCGTCTCGTACTTTGGGACACACTGGGAGAATCATTCAGCAGGCACATTAGGGAGCCTACTGTGTGCTCGGTGCTGGGAATGTAGGTGTGAGAAAGGGAGCCTACTGTGTGCTCGGTGCTGGGAATGTAGGTGTGAGGAGATACTGTCCCTACCCATCAGGAGCTTACGGTTAATTCTCACAAATTGTTTAGAGTAACAATGTAAATTATTTTTTAAATATTTTTTATTGATTTCAGACAGGAAGGGAGAGGGAGAGCGAGAGAGATAGAAATATCAGTGATGAGAGAGAATCATTGTTCGGCTGCCTCCTGCACGCCCCACACTGGGGATGAAGCCCACAACCCGGGCATGTGCCCTGACCAGGAATCAAACTATGACCTCCTGGTTCATAGGTCGACGCTCAACCACCGAGCCATGCCAGCCAAGCAACGATGTAAATTATAAAACATCACCATGTTCGTGAGAACAAGCCATCCAACCCGTGGGGACTGACCTTGTTCACTAAGGAGGAGTTGATTTTGTTCACCAGCCACGTGAATGTGCGCCCATAGACGGCCTTCGCCATCGCGTCTCTGGCGTAGACAGAGTTTTCTAGCGTCAGTGGGCAGATCACCTGAGAACAACAGGTGCATCATTACAGAGGTTAAAAAAGTCCCCGGAGTTTTCAAAGCAGCCTTTTTAAAAAGATTCTGAATGGAATTTTAGAGAGAGGGAAGGAGAGAAACATCAATGTGAGAGTGAAACATTGATCGGCTGCCTCCTGCACACCCCCTACTGGGGATCAAGCCCGCAACCCTGGCATGTGCCCCGATGGGGAATCAAACCGGCAACCTTTTGGTGCACAGGACGACACCCAACCAACCGAGCCACAGCCAGGGCTCAACTTAGCCTTGAATGATGACCCCAGGGAGGATGCTACCCCCCTGGTCCTGCACACGTGCACCGAGCAGCTACTGCTGGAGTGGCAGGCACCGCGCTGAGCTCATGAGATACAGCCATGACCAAGACAAACAGGGCCAGCCTTTGTGGGCCGGGCTCACATTTGGGGAGCGGGGCACAGTCAATAAGTCACACAGCCCAGCTGGTGTGGCCCAGCGGTTAGCATCAACCCAGGAACCATGGGGTTGCCCGTTCAATTCCCAGTCAGGGCACATGCCCGGGTTGCGGGCTTGATCCCCCGTCGGGGGCCTGCAGGAGGCAGCCGATCGATGATGTTCCTCTCTCATCGATGTTTCTGTCTCTCCATCCCTGTCCCTTCCTCTCTCTCAATAAAAAAATATATATATTTAAAAAAATCAGTCACACAAAGAAGAGTCATGTTGTTCTCAAGTTAAGAGTGACAAGTGCTCTAAGGAGATGCACCCACTGCCGTAGGGCAGGGGGCACATGAGCAGGAAGTGACCTGGGAACTGAAGGAGCAGGAGTCAACCAGAGGAAACACAGGGAAGGGTGTTCCAGCAGAGGGAACAGCATGTGCAAGGACCCAGTGGAGGGAAGGCACGGCGACGGTGAGGCGTGGAGAGTGAGCTGGCGACCGTGTGATGTTGGGGGGAGAGGAAGTTAAGGCGGGAGACGCTGGCAGGAGCTGGGCCAGGCAGGACCTGGCGGGCGGGGTTGGGGGCCACCACCCTCGGCTGCGGCGGAGGAGAGAACAGGCGTGTCCCACCAGAGCCGTCGTTACCTCCTCGGTTTGGGCTTCAATCTTCCTGTGGGTGAGAGCTTCCAGCAGGGCCGACGGCTGGACCCCCAGGAGCTGAATAAATGGAAACCAAGATGAAAGCCAGTCAGTGACCTGAGCTGACTCACCGCTTAGGAAGAGTTCGCGGAGTTTCCAGGCTCAGGGTTACCTGCCCCGAGTGATAACTGAGCTTTAATGCAAAACAGCCCACGTTAGATCTCCCAACCAACTGGCTTTTACCCTCGTCCTCAGCCACCCTCGCCTACCACCACCCTCGCCCCCCGCCACCCCTGCACGCTCACACCTCCTAACCAGCATCAGCTGCAAGAACATGGTGTCAGCCACTGAAACGTGGGCATCCAGCTGCCTCGCTCCCCCCACACACCCCCACCCCCCCACCCATCCCCACACCCCGCATCCCCACCTCTGAAGACAAGCATCACCTTGGCGATCCACTTGATCTCGTTGATGACTGGAATGGTGGCACAGCCCTGGTGGTTCTCTCTAAAACAGACGTTCCCCAGGTGCAGGATGCTGGCAATGATTCCAAAGAGATTCTAGGAACGTGGGAGGTGGTGAGGAGGATAAGGAGAGAAGCTGCAGCCGCCTAATTGATACGTGTCATCAGGGGAGGCACCGAGGGACAACCACCCCGACTTCCAGCCCTGAGCTCACAGGTCCTTCCTTCCCCAGACCCCGGCCTGAGTCACTCCAGGTACTAGGGCTGGGGGGTGGGGTGGGAAAGAGCCATCCCCAACCTCCATCCTCAGGGGCGGGTGGGGAAGATGTCCCACTCCATCTCCTGCCCAGGACACTTGAACTTTTACACTCCCCACCCCCAAACCATTTAACATTCAAATGCCATGGTCCCCGACATATAGATATGTTGGAATCCTATTCAGGCCCTAGAAATATCAATAGTTTAGCCATACAAAAAAAGACCCAAAGATGTAGGGTTTGTAAACAACGTTTTTACAAGTTGTCCGTTTGTTTTAAAATCGAAGAGTAAATAAATAATTCTATGGGGATTCATTATCTACAAGAGTCCACGAGATCTAAATGTTTGCGATGGTACTTGAGGGGAAGGAGAAACATCACCCCCTCTTTTCCCACAACAGGCGGGAAAACGCAGGGCTGCCAGCAACACGCAGAGCCCCCGTCAACATGTGACTCCCACATGAGCAATGACTAACGTTCGGGATACACTTATACCGACAAAACGAGTCCTCGCCTTGGCCTGGTGGCTCAGCTGGTTGGAGCATCATCCCATATACCAAAGGCTGCGGGTTCGATCTGCAGGCGGGCCACGTACACGAGGTGACCCAGTGATGTTTCTCTCTCTCTCTCTCTCCCTCTCCTCTCTCTAAAGTCAATAAACATATCCTTGGGTGAGGATTTTTAAAATATACAAACAAATAAATAGTCATTGTTTACTTAAAATTAAGGTATAACTAGGCGTCTTGCTCTCCTGTTGGCTGAATCTGACCGCCCGCCCAGGCAGCCACCAGGACTGTCCCCTCAGCTCCAGGCTCCCGGGGCGCATGCCCGCACCTCCAGGTCGTCTTCAGTGAAATCGATGACAGCAAAGGCATTGGAGACGGTTTTCCAGTCGTTCCTGTCATTCATAGACGACTCGTTGGCGCCATGAGCCTGCTGACACAGAGTTGGGTTGCGTAATGGCACTTGTACACGGACAGTGAATAGCTCCTACCCCAGAATGCTTTTCTCCACAAGCATGCGAGCGAGCGCCGGGTCTATAGGACGTTCTGAACCGTGACTTCCCCTCCAATCACCCAGCACCGGGTGGCCTGCCAGCTGCTGCTCTATTCCGATGTACGTGGAAGTTTAGTTCAAAATCTCCATCCTGGGAAAACTTCCAAAGTCACATACTCGTGGTATTTCCTTTTGTGTGTGTTTTTAAAAGGGTTCTTCTGGCTATTTTTGCTTAAAAAAATTGAAGACACATCTCAATAAACACCTGAAGTGTAGGGGGACATGACAGTGAAATTCAGAAAATAATCCGGACATGCTTAGCAACTGCCAGCCACACCGTGACGGCAGGAGGCCCTTCCTCGTGGAAAAGAACCGTTGGGCCTTTAGAGAGACACAGTCGTGCAAACATGGTCACCAGCAGAAGTGTGACAAGTCGTGTCTCACTCACTCGAGAAGCTGTCTTTTAAATAAGTAACAGATCGACCAGTGTCACAATTTAAAGAAAAAACAGTCTAGATGAGGGCTTTTATTTAAAAAATTTTAAAAATACATGTTTTTTATTTATTTCAGAGAGGAAGGGAGAGGGAGTGAAAGATGGAAACATTAATGATGAGAGAGAATCATTGATCAGCTGCCTCCTGCAGGCCCCACACTGGGGATGGAGCCCACCACCTGGGCATGTGCCCTGACTGGGAATTAAACCCTGACCTCCTGGTTCATAGCTCGACGCTCAACCACTGAGCCACACTGGGGCCAAAGTGTGAAGAACAATCGCTGGGCTACCTGCAGAATGGTCTGAGAAAGTTCTTAGGACACCCCATTGAGGGGCCCACAGACACCCCGTCCCCCCTCCAAAGGGCCACCGAAGCCAGGTGCCGGCTCCCCACCTGGGCCAGGTATCTGTACAGCTGGGGGTCTCGCTCCAGCCCCAGGTAGGCCAGCAGCTGCTCCTCGCCGCCCTCCAGCAGCTGGTAGAAGATGTGGAAGTTCCGCTCCCCGTGGTTCTGATAGACAACTCGAGACTTTTCTATCAAGTAACCGATGATGTGCCCGCCGATGGGAATGCCCTTCAAAACAGGACCACAAATAAAGTTTAAAAATGCGGCAATGACAGCAGTAACCAAGCCACCCTCTTATTGGTATTTTCTGAGAAGAGAAATTCTGAAGCAGAATGAAGTCAGATCTATCCGTCTCCCATGACTGGTGTTTCCCGTCGGGCTCTGTCTAAAAGGATTCTTGCCTCCCCCAAGGTCATGAAGATGTTTCTATGTTTCTGTCCGGAAGCATGATTGTTCTGTCGTTCATGTTTAGGACTATAATCGACGATGATGTAATTTTTGTATATGAAGTGAGGAAGGGGGTCAAAGGCCATCTGGATTTCCAATTGATCCGCACCCTTTGTCAAAAAGACAGCCCTGTCCCCCCTGAATCACTGTGGTGCTTTTGTCATTAAGTCAAGTGACCTGTACATGGGGCTCTTCCTGGACTCTACTCTGGCCCATTGGCCTGTTTATACAGTGGGGCCTTGACTTACCAGTTTAATTCGTTCCGTGACGGAGCTCATAACTCAAATTACTCGTATGTCAAATCAAAAAGTGAACGAGTGAGACATGTAATGCTGGGCTGATGTTATGGTGTTCACTGTGACGTTCGCTGCGCCAACTAGCAGTGGGGTATCTGAAGCTGGCTCGTAACCCGAATTTTAGCTCGCAATTCAAAGCAAAATATCGGCCGAGAGACGGCTCATATCTCAAAAAACTCGTTAGTTGGGACACTCGTAAGTCAAGGCCCCACTGTATGTCCTTGTGCCAATATCACACTGTCTTAATTATGATTTTTAATAATTGATCCTATAAAGGATTTGTATCCCAGAACATGTATAGAATTCTTGCAAATCAATAAGAAAAAACACAGCCCAATTAAAAATAGGCAAAAGCCTTCAACAATGACCAAAACTTCATGAATAATCAGGAAGATACAAACGTAAGTCACAGTGAGAAAGCACTAACCCCGCCAGAATGCCTAAAACCGCCAGGACCGACATCCCACACGTTGGCTGGGGCGGGGAGCAGCGGGAAGTGTCAATCATTATCGCACATTGCTGGTAAGGACCAGCAGTGCCACTTCCGGGGACAGGCCCAACATGAATGAACGCTTGTGTCTACTGAGAGACATGCACACGGATGTTCGGAGCACAGTCTGCAATAGCCCCAAGTGTCCCTCAACAGAACAGATAAATGGCGACCAGGTCACACAACCGAAAAACGAACCGCGGCCACATGCAGCCGCATGAATGAACTGAACAGAGAGAATGTTGACTGAAAGAAGCCAGACCCAAAATATAATTCCATTTTTGTGTCGGGCTTCTTATTGCTCCCACTGCCATACAACCCCTCATTGTGTGAACACCCCCCAACTGCACCAGCCACTCTCCTGTACACGGACAGTCAGCCCTCCCCAGATGTGGGTTGGTCCCCTCACGCACAGTGCTCTGTGGGCTTGCACACCTGCAGGAGTGGACTGTCTCCACCTTAGATCCAACCTCACAAGATAACACAGGGTGGGGTGAGAGAAGGTTAACAGTTGTGAGTACGCAAAACAGAGTTTGTTCGTGTATTATTATTTATTGACTAGAGACCCAGTGCACTAATTCGTGCATAGGTGGGGGTCCCTCTGCCTGGCCAGCAATCAGGGCCAATGGGGGCCATCTCACTCAGTCTGGGGGGCAGGAGGGGGGGGGTAGGGGCCATGGGAAGGTTGGCTGTGGGGAAGGGCCCGACCACCAGGGGGCAGCTCCTGCATTGAGCATCTGCCCCCTGGTGGTCAGTACACGTCACAGCAACCAGTCGACTGATTGTAATGGTCGCTTAGGCTTTTATATAGAGATTACTGTATTATTTTCCATCTGCACAACTGTAAACCTACTTTCGCCCCACCTGTATATTGTTTTCCAAATGGGTTACGCTAACATACCCCCCCCCACCCGTTAATGATCCACATCTTTGCCAACACCTGGAATTGGCAGACTTCTTCATTTCCAGCATCTAGATCAGTGGTTCTCAACCTTGGCTGCACATTAGAATCACCCGGGAATCTTTTTAAAATCCAGATTTCTGGGCCTCATCCTCCGGAATTTCTGTTTCTTTGTTATGGGGTGGGGCCACAACATTAGTAACCAAGAAACAGAATTTCTGGAGGATGAGGCCCAGAAATCAGGATTTTAAAAAGATTCCCAGGTGATTCTAATGTGCAGCCAAAGTTGAGAACCACTGATCTAGATGGTCTCTCACTGCAGTCTTTATTTGCATTTCCTAAAACAAGTGCAAATCCTGGAGTTCTCAGCTGTTTGAGCCAATAAGTGCCCCTCCTTCCTTAAGGTGCCTTGGGGTGGGTTTCCATCGCTGGTGAGTGAAGGGGTCCCCGGGAACAGTAGTGGGAACTGGAGTGTACCTTAAAGTCAAACTGTATGTCCATGTATTTCCCAAATCTGCTGGAGTTGTCATTCCGGAGCGTTTTGGCATTTCCAAAGGCCTTGGAATACAAAGTGGGGAGAGGGGAGCGCTGAGCCGAACTGCCACTCACTGTCCTCTGAGCTCACTACGCGCATCCAGGTCCTGAGCCCAAAGGACATGCATGTTATGAGAACAGGAGGGAGGGGGAGCCAGGGGTGAAAGCTGTACTCTATCTCCTAAGGAACCGCTAACTACAGAGGATCGGACGCCAACTACTAGGGTTGGACCTAAACAGAAAAAGGGGAAAAGCGTATCTTCTCCCTGAAATCCAATCCAGGAATAGATTAGAAATGGCCTCAGGAGAGATAATATAGGACCCTCGGCCCTTGCTGCTCTAGAAGGAACAGTTCATGGCCCCCATAACCAGACCCCTTCTTCTTATGTCCTAAAGATAAATTATTCAGCCCAAAGGCCCACTGGGAAAACTCTTCCAGCATCTTTTACACAAAGGGCCACAAAAACACAGGAGAAAATAACTTGTTCAAAGTTAGCCAGCGAGTCAGTGAATTGCAAGAGGAGACATAACCATCCAAATGATTTTAATGAATAAAAATGTAAATAAATACTCGAGCATTATTTTAGTGCTCCTTGGTTTTGCAGAGTGCTTTTGATGCGCTCGTCTCATTTAATCCTCAAAACCTCCCAGGAGGTAAGTACTATGGGTAGACCCATTACACAGATGGGAAAATAGGCCCCAGGACATGAAAGGACTTTCTGAAGCTTGCTGGTGCGTGGCTGCCCTGGGATTACCATCACGCCCGCTGGACTTCAAGGTCATGCCCTTAACCTCAATACCACCCGACCCCCCTTCTTCTCAACTCCCAGATTTGTTACCTTCCCGTTTTGACTGACCCGCTCTGGGGATTCTTCTTACTTAAGTGCCCTTCCAGGAACTCGCCTTGATTGGGCCTCCACGGTTCCTTACCTCCAGCACCGGGTTGGAGAGCAGCAGTCTGTCCCGGGCGATTTCTAGGGAGTCGGTCATGGGGCAGGTCATTGCGAAATACTGCAGGATCTTCTTGGAGGCCTCCGTTTTCCCCGCCCCGCTCTCCCCAGAAATGAGGATGAGGTGGTTGGTCAGCTCCGAGCACATCATGCGGTAAGCGTTGTCAGCTATGGCATAGCTGGGGAGGTGGAACAGAAGCGGAAGGAGCGGGAAGTGGCTGTCACGCTACTGCCCTGGGCTCTGACGCCCACAAGGCATCCTGCCTCCAGGCAGCCACATCCAGGCCGCGGCACAAGGACACCGAGTTCAGGCGGAGATCAAACCCATCACAACCCACTCCCTGATCACATGGGAAGCGTACCAGATGGCAACGCTCAAATAGTACACGAGGTGAAGTGAAGAATTTGAGCAGTGACAGAAATAATAATTTAACAAATTTATTTTGTTTAATCTATCAACATTTCTTATAAAAATGAGCCAGATACTAAATTATATCCCGCAAGAGATGTGCTATGAGTTGTAGGGAAAATTAACAACTTGTCTAAATATTAAACAGTTCAATAGATATAATACGATCTCCCATTTTCTCTCAAAACCTAGGTTGCTAAGGATGTAGGGACAGCCCGGTCAGCGTGGCTCAGTGGTTGAGCGTCGACCTATGAACCAGGAGGTCACGGTTTGATTCCTGGTCAGGGCACATGCCCGGATTGAGGGATAGATCCCCAGTGTAGGGCATGCAGGAAGCAGCCGATCAATGATTCTCTCTCATCATTGATGTCCCTCTCTTCTCTCTCTCTCTCTCTCCCCCCCCCCCATTCCTCTCTGTAATCAATAAAAATTTTAAAAAGAGTGTAGGGACAGGAAACTAAAAAGATTTTAAAACCTCTGTGATACCGTTACAACAACAGCTAAAACTCTCATGAGGGATTTATCTCCAAGATCAGAAACCAAAGCATGAAGATCTCCCAAGACCATAATCTTTGCATGTGGCCAAGTTTGAAAGCTGGCTATTTCGGAAACCATTGGTGGTAGTGATGCGGAAAGGTTTATAAGCGCCCTGGGAGGTGAGAAAACGAGTCCCCAAGAAAAAATGGAGGGAGGACATAAATATTAGCCCGGAGATCAGCCAGGAAGGAGAACTAAGAAAGTTAGCAAAGCCCAAATCATAGAGGAAAGTGCTTGCCTTAGGGCTCTGCAGCCCTGGTTAAGTTTCTACCCACGGAGACTCTCCTTAGCTGCCATGACACCCAGGCACCAGTAGATGGAGCAGTAGCAACCCACTTCCCAGAGAAGACGCCTCTCTAGCCACTCTTAGACTTCTCAGCGTTTTCAAAGGATTCCACCTCTCATCGTATTTAAGCTGAGATTCCACCTCTCGTCGTATTTAAGCTGAGATTCCACAATGATCTGCTGATGTTTTCCACTGTGTTGAAAGACTTATTTTACGAGGCAGCAGATACAGAATGAGTGAGACACAGAACGTAATGAGTATGTGTCCAGGATTTGGATGCACGGGTGGGTGGGTGGGTGGATGGATGGATGGGTGGGTGAGAAGAAGGGAGAAAAGGAGGGGGAAAGAGAAGGAGGAAAGAAGTAGAAAAATACTCCTATTGATGAGCTGACGAGGGCTACTTACACATGTGGTGGCAGCTCAAAGAAATTGACCCCTTGGTAAAGCTCCATCTGGCTCAGGGTGTAGATGCCCAGCTCCTGGTACGGATTCACAGACACGAGGAGGGTGCCAATGTATGTCTAGAGGAATGGACCAAAGCACCAGTGAGGCATCCCGGGGTGCAAGCGGCCACCATAAAAGACCGTCACGGGCTGTGATCCCCATGCGTTCATTCAGAGCTGGGGCTAGAACGTGATAAACAAGACAGGCGGGGTCTCTGTTGTCAGGGAGCTGGGTGGACAGGGGCAGATAAACAGCCAAGGGCTCAAGGCTGTTTCCACCAGAGATGAGGGGTAGGAACGGTGTAAATGAGAGTGGACGGCTGAGGAAGGCCACCTTAGCTGGTGGGCTTAGGGACGGCTTCCTCCAGGAGGTGACATCTGAGCTGAGACTTGAAGGATGAGGAGCAAAGTCATGAAAAAAGTCAGTAGGAAGGGTTCCGGGCTGGGGAAGAAGTGTGGCAGGTTGGCTGCCACGGAGGCCAGGGATGGAGGGGAGAATGGAAGGTGGTAAGAGATGATGTTGGAGAGGGAGCGAGTTCACGTCACACAGCGTATGAAGGATTGGGGGGGTTACTCCAAATGCAATGGATGGCGGAGACGCCGCTCTCCCTGCTGGAATGAAATACCTGCCCGGAGCCGTTATGGAAAATGAATGACTTTAAGAGGGGCACACCACACTCTGACATAGGTTTCACCACAGTCTCTCTGGCCATCAGGCGAAAGCAGGGTGAGCGGACACACCAGCCATTTAAAATTGGGCAAACGCTCCCCAAGATTTCAACACTGGATTCTATTAGGATTCAAGTGTCGGAAGTACTTATATTTGTAATATAGCCACTAAGGTAAAACTGCTTGGCACACAATTAGGAATAAAGGTAAGCGGAAAGGCTTTACCTGAAAAATTGACCAATCAAATTAGGGTGGGGTGATAAATGGAGAATTTAATAACAACTGGCCACCACTAGAAGCAACAGGACCAACCTGAGTAGTACTCGACCCTTGGAGATTCAGGGGGTGTGGTGGACCCCCTCTTATTTAAGCCTCCGTGGTATCTAGTTCCCCTTCGTCCAACAGATTCCTATGAGGGACCCTCTGCCCCAGCTCTCAGTGCATATCATAGGGTCAGAGGGGCACCGGCCTCACCCCTCATCGCCAGGGGTGGCCTTGGGTAAATATTCTGTCCCATCAGAATATTCCTCATTCCTAGCTATTGGGATTGGTTCAGAGATAGGCATGTGACCCAAAATAGGCCAATCAGAGCCAATCAACATCTGTGTATCTGGGAAGACTTGCTTTCAGCAACTCTAAATGGATGTCAGCATGGTTCTGTCAGCAGCCAACTTGTCACCTTGTGGAGAGGCTGCCCCAGAAGGAAACTGACCCAAAAGAAACCAGAGAGGTGGGAAAGATCCCGCGAGAGGGAGAAAGAGTCCTCAAGACATTACTGAGACCCTAGATCTATTCATAGACCCTACAGTGACATAGGCCCATACATTCCCTTTTGAGGCTAAGACGCATTTAAGTGGTGTGTGTATCGCTGGCCGCCCAAAAGGCCTTAAGCCCAAAGGATGAAAAGGCACCCGATAGTGGTCCCTCCACACCTCCCTGCTCTGGCTAACCCAATAGCGTGATATTGCTCACAATCGACAAAGCTGCGAAGGCAGGGAGGGAGCCGCCACAGGAGGAAAACAGCTGAGAAAGGGGGTACGTTACATAGATGAGGTTCTCCCGGAAACGCTTGCGAAGGTTGTCCAGAAAAGCAGATTCGCTGGTGTGCGCGTCCAACAGCACGAAATCCTGCACCCCGACCTTGTCGCGGGCGGTCAGCGCCCCTTCCATGTGCAGGCGAATGTGCCGCCGCCTCACCTCTTCTTTCTGCAGGAAACAGAACAGGCCTCAGCTGCCATTTCGTCTCCGATTCCTACTGCGCGTCTAATGTGGGAACAGCAAGACCCTAGGCCCTGGGGATGGTCGAGAGCCAAGCCTGCATGACGCTGTCTTCATGAAGAGTTTACATCTGGTTAGAGATACAAGAGGGTGATGATAAAAGCAGCAACAGTAGTTAACGGCAGCAGCTGATGGGGACTGAGCATGTACTGTGTTAGGCACTTGCCATTTAATCCTCATGACAGAATGGCTCCTACAGCTCAATAATAAAGAGTCAAGCTCAATAAAAACTGGGCCCAAAAAAACCACGAATGGACATTTCACAAAGGGAGATAGACAAATGGTCAAGAAACACCTAGAAAAATGCTCAGCATCCTTAACCATCAGGAAAATGCAAATGCAAACCACAGTGAGATGCCTCCACCAAAACGGTTCAGAGAAAAGAGACTGACAACACCCGATGTTGGTGAGGCCCTGGAGCCGACGAAACGCTCAAACAGGGTCAGTGAGACGCAGAGGGATAGAATCCTTTCGGGGAGAAGTCTGGCAGTTTCTAATGAAGTCACAGCCTCTCCCCTTTGATGCGGCAGTCCCATCCCCGAGTATTTACATAAGACGAGTGTAAACACGCGCTCACAGAAAGACCCGAACACGAAGGTTTACACCAACGTTATTCATCACGGCCCCGAACTGGAAACAATCCAAATTCCCATCAACCGGAGAAGGCGCGCGGGCCATCGATGCCACCGAACGGGCCCGGCGATCAAAGAGAAACGCTGGCGTGCACGGGGACACCATGGCTCTCAGACATGCGGCCGAGTGAAAGGACCGGACACAAAAGGCCGCGCGCCCTCTGGCTCCATTTAGATGAAATTCTAGGACAAGCAAAACTAATCCACACAGAACATCTGAGCAACCGCCGCCGGGTTAGAGGGGGTTGTCTGGCAAGGGGCAGGTTTTGGACTAATGGAAACGTTCTCTGACCCAACAGGGCTGGGGGTCACACGGGTGGGTCTATCTGGCAAGGTATGTGTGAAGACGGTGTGCATTTTGATATGTGTAAATTTTATTTTTATTTTTCATTTTATTTGTTTTTTAATCCTCACCCAAAGATATTTTTCCATTGGTTTTTAGAGAGAGAGTGGGAGAGAGGGGGGAAGACAGAGAGAAACATCGATGTGAGAGAAACACATCGATTGGTTGCCTCCTGCACTCGCCCTGACCAGGGCCCGGGCCAGGGAGGAGCCTGAAACCAAGGTATGTGCCCTTGACCGAAATCGAACCCTTTGGTCCACAGGCCAAAGCTCTATCCACCGAGCCAAACCGGCTAGGGCTGCACATTTTATTTTTAAAAGAACCATCAAAATAATCAAGTGGGAGGGGATGGGGAGTGGGTGGAGGTATAAACGAAAACATTTATGCCAGGGTAGCTTGCTGGGTACGGGAGGGATGTATTACACTATTCTGTTTACTTTGAAATGTAATTGAATTTCCCATGATAAAAGTTTAAAAAAAAAACACAGAACGGCCACCAGGTGTCTCCCTACACTAGCCAAATGGAGCTACAAGAAAACAATCACCTGCTCTCTAAGGTCGAAAACAACGCGTTTAGATAAAAAATATTTCAGGGATTCTGAATATTCTCACTTTAAAGTTGCTGTTTTTTTTTATAGGAGAGGCAGCACAGCGTAGTGATTAAACACAAGGACTTTGCAACGTGAGCCTGCCCAGGTTCAAGTGCCATTTCTGCCTGCCTCTCGCCGGCAGGACAACCTTGGGAAGGTCTCTTGCTCTGTCCAAGTCCCCGTCGCTGCTCTGTGTCTGTAAAACGGAATCGGCTGTGCCTACTTCCCGGGGCTGCTGGTGTGAACAGAACCAGGGAGAGCACTGGGAACGGTGCCAGACGCAACGCCAGCTCGGTAGCACTCGCTTCTGCCCTCAGCCGTATCAGTGACACGATTGTTAGAAACAGGAATATTACAAAGCAAAAGTCTGTGGGTGAGCAGTCGGTGAGTCCCGATTGGGAGCAGGCTGGAGTCTGAAATACTATCGGAGCTGCACCCACCAATATGACTCAGTCAGATCTCTGCAGGCGGAGGGTGGTAGAGATGAACAAACTTCTTCCTTTTTAAAAAAATGTTTTTATTGATTTCAGAGAGCGGGAAGGAGAGTGGGAGAGAGAGAAACATCAATGATGAGAGAGAATCATTGATCGGCTGCCTCCTGCACGCCCCCTCCTGGGGATCGAGCCTGCCACCCGGGCCTGTGACCTGACTGGGAATGGAATGGTGACCTCCTGGTTCATGGGTCGATGCTCAACCACTGAGCCACACAGGCCAAGCAACAAAGCTTCTTTCTTATCTGCCCTGGGGATGGGAGGGTGCTGTGCTTACAAGAGTGAGAGCCCTGCAGTGTCAGCCCAGGGCCTTATGCAACGTTCAGTCCAAAGAGATTTGACAAAACTCGCTAAATTAAGGAATGAAACAGTGAAATCGTAAAATGCCCAGTGAGATGTTCAGCTATCCAACGCCCCCTGGTGGTGAGTGAAGAAGGCCGAATTCACACTGACAGCTCCACCCCAGTGCTTGGGCACCCAACCCTCACCCACCACCTGCAGGCAGGCTCCAGGTTGCCCGAGGGGAAAAGGAGGAGATGGGGGAAAAGCACCGAGAAGAAAATCTAAAAGCCATTCTTTCAAAATAGAAGCTCGATCTACTTCGGTTCTGCCTAGATGCCACCATCTGTCAGGAAAGCAGTTTCCATTTTGTAACAAAATTGGAATACGGAAGCGAGCCCCCCCCTCCCCCCACCCCCTGCTGAGATAGGGACTGCTCCTGCCAGCTCAGTGCCCCGCGTCCGGGCCAAAGATTCCCTTTCGCCGCTCAACATCCGTAACAATTAAACGCAAACAAATGAAAGCAACAGCACCAGGTTATTACCATAAAAAGACACGTAAGGGAGAGGATCGCACACAACACTGGGAGACTGACGTGAGATTAAAACCCCAACGCACTGCAAGCGGCAGAGTACATTTTAACTAGCCCTCAGAAATGCAATGTTGCCATAGGCCAGTGATGGCGAACCTTTTGAGCTCGGCGTGTCAGCATTTTGAAAAACCCTAACTTAACTCTGGTGCCGTGTCACATACAGAAATTTTTTGATATTTGCAACCATAGTAAAACAAAGACTTATATTTTTGATATTTATTTTATATATTTAAATGCCACTTGACAAAGAAAAACCAACCAAAAAAATGAGTTTGCGTGTCACCTCTGACATGCGTGTCATAGGTTCACCATCACTGCCATAGGTTAATATATATATTATATATACATATATATATATATATATACATATATATACATATATTATATTAGAGGCCCGATGCATGAAATTTGTGCAAGAGTAGGCCTTCCTCTCCCCTGCTGCCAGCACCAGCTTCCCTCGCAGCCCCAGCTTCATCCAGAAGGTCGTCTGGAAGGATGTCCAGAAAGACATCTGGTCTAATTAGCATATTACGCTTTTATTATTATAGATATTGGCCCAGTGATATGATTCCTTAGAATTTCTCCTAAGGAAATATTTCTAACAATTAAAAACATTTAGCTGTTTCTGTAGTGTTTTATCTAAAATGATAATTGAGCCCTGGCTGGTTTGACTCAGTGGACAGAGCGACAGCCTGCGAACTGGAGGGTCCCCGGTTTGATTCCGGTCAAGGGCATGTACCTCAGTTACAGGCTCCTCCCCAGCCTGGGCCCTGGTCGGGGCACATGCAGGAGGCAACCAATCGATGTGTTTCTCTCACATCAATGTTTCTCTCTGTCTTTCCCTCTTTCTTCCACTCTCTCTAAAAATCAATGGAAAAATATCCTCGGGTGAGGATTAAAAAATAATAATCAATAATAATAAAATGGTAATTGACATTCAATTTATAACAGTAGCCCAGTATATGACACCAACTAGTGAGAATACATACAGAGATGGAAGTGATGCTTATGAAGAGGACATGAGCGAGGCCTTCTCCCTTTGGAGGGGCAGCAGCAGAATGCACAGGTATATGTGACCTGGGATTACAAACTACGCCTCAGTGCATGCTTACGGACCGGCTGCAACATGGGCCGGACACAGTCACACCAGGTGGCACGTGCAAATACTGAATTCTGCACACCATCCCCATGTCCAGCGTCGGTCTGCTTTTCCCACTGACGGGTCAGACACCGTGTCCAAGAGTATTTTTCTTTCTTTCTCGTATTGCGATTCTAGATCTCTGTCTTGGGCCTCCCAGCATCTGCAGCTCCTCCTCCGACTTCCCCTAGAGGTGCCTCCTCTCCCCCTCCCCCCTCTCCCCCGTGGAAGGTCTCAGGTAGGACAGTCCAAGACACTCCCAGCCAAGAGGGAGGCGGGAGATACAGCTCCGACTCCCAGAGTTCTCCCTTTAGGACTTAGATCTCAACTGCACGGGGCATAAAGAAGGAAACCGGCCTGGCTGGTGTGGCCCAGTGGTTGAGCGTTGACCTATGAACAGGGAGGTCATGGTTCGATTCCCGGTCAGGGCACATGCCCGGGTTGCAGGCTCGATCCCCAGTGTGGGGCGTGCAGGAGGCAGCCGATCAATGATTCTCACTCATCGTTGATGTTACTATCTCTCTCTCCCTCCCCCTCTGAAATCAATAAAAATATATATTTTTTAAAATAAGTGGAACAACAAATCGATGTTTTTCTCTCTCTCTCAAATCAATAAACAGAAAGTGCTGGTTTCTGTTTCTATTCCTCCTCTAACACAGAATCTGCATCTAGAGCTTCAAAACCAACAAGGATTTCAGGCGGCCGCTTGCACACAAGTCCCCCTTCTGTCCACATCTCTAACTCACGGATGAGAAATGCTTATCTGACTTGTTTTCCTTAGTACAACACTTCAACACCACTGTTCCCATGGACAGAAGCAAGACTGT